GTGTGTGTGTGTGTGTGTGTGTGTGTATACCTATTTGTGTCTAATGGTAGCCATCTCTAGGGCGGGGCAGGGAGGAGGGAAGAAATAAAAGAAAAAGAAATTTATATGATTATTATATATTTAAAAGGAATAGCAAGTTGTACACAATAGATTTGCAGTTTTATGTGCAATCATCTTTTTTTTTCCCTATACTGTTATGGAAATGCTTGTTTTATTCCATAAATTAATAATTAAATAAATTTTTAAAAAATTTAAAAAGTGAAAAGAAATAACAATATAATATGGCAGCCAAAAGAAGTGCTTTAGTCTTAGCCTGAAATAAGAGGTATATTGTCCAGGGCTAGAGAATTAATAACTTCCTTGTTGTTTAAACGTTAGCTAGACGACACCTAGATTGTTATGTTCAGTTCTAGGCACCATATTTTAGGGAGGCCATCAATAATCTGGCGAGTGTCCAAAGGAGGACAACAAGGATGGTGAAGGGGCCTGAGTGCATTTGGTATGATTGTTCGGGAAAGGACTTAGAGATGCAAAATCAGTAGACTGAGAAGTTAGAGGGATTTAAACAAAGGTTTCAAGTGTTCAAGGAAAGTCTGAACAAGCAAACTTTTGTCAGATATGCTGTAGGGATGGAATGGACTAGATGACTTTTGAGATGCTCTCCAACTGAGATTCTCTAAGGTTGGGTGAATCAAGTCCCATTTAAGTAGAATGTGAGCTCCCTGAGAGCAGATACTGTTTTCCATTTTGTATAGGAATCCCCACAGTGCTTTGCTCTTACTATGTGGCTAATAAATGCTTGTTGCCTTGAACTGAACTGAATCTCTAAGACTTACTCGCTATGCAGCCCAAGACAACTGACTTCACCCTCTCTACAATTCAGTTTCCTCATTGGTAAGATGTAAGGAACATGTCTTTAACTGTAAATCACTAAAGAGAAGCAGAGTGGTGTGAAGGATGGAAGTCTGGATGAAGAATCAGAAAGACCTGGATTTAAATCCATGGAGTTCCATAATCAAGTTATACAGAGTGTCCCAAAAGTCTTAGTGCAGTTAAAACTTAAAGCTCTGTTTAAATTATACCAGCTTAAAACTTCACCGAGACCGTAGGGACACATTTATCACATTTATGAACCTTAGTTTCTTCACTTGCAAAATGGGGTTAATTATATCTGGAGTACCTATCCTACCTGCTGGTTGTAGCACCAAAATAATATAAAGTATGTAAAGTGCTTTGCAAAGGTTAAAGTGCTACATAAATGTTTGATGCATTATAATTAATTATTATAATTATCACTATTGTTATCAGTAATTACATCAGTCCTTTAAATTGGGAATTTCATCAAGTTGGATACTATTTCTAATCATGCAGAACACAATCCATCCTCAGCCTCTTATTCTGTGTGACTCTTACCTGAATTTTCATGTATCTTTCACTGAGTATCTAGCCAAAATACTGGAGGCCTTTCCACAGTTTTTTGTTTTTGTTTTTTACTGTTTCATAGATTCTAGTGTCATACTTGGGCTACCAATCTCTAATGGCTCATTCTTTGCTATATTTCTACCTTAATTTTTTTAATCATTGATGTCCTTGATGTTGTCTTTTATGCCACTTCTCATGTGAAAGTCATCACTGTAAACAATCTACAGACCACTTACCCCTGCCATATGTTTCTTTATTGCCTTTAGGTCACCTGTAACTTTAATTCTCCTGAGATTGTGGTGATCTATGATTGTATTAATATAGCATCATACAGAAAATATTGATGTTAAAAAGATTAGGTTGCAGAGCAGGTACTTATTTGAGACTATTGAGAATGCCAGGGGGCAGCTAGGTGGCATGGTGGATAGAGCACCGGCTCTGGCTTCAGGAGGACCTAAGTTCAAATCTGGCCTGAGACACATAACACTTACTACCAGTGTGACCCTGGGCAAGTCACTTAACCCCATTGCCTGGACAAAAGAAAAAAAAATAAAATGCCATGTTATTTTTCATATAAAATCCAGCCCAGTCTCTGCCTCCTACTGTGGCCTAGATTTTTAGCCATATGAAGTTCTTAACCAAGATATGTGGAATGATAGATTACCTCAATGTTCTGCCCATCCAACTGCCTATCACAATCTGGGCAGTGAATATTCATTCTTCTGCTTCTTTTTTCCCCCTATTAATGAATAGGGTAATATTTTTTGAATGAATATGGATCCAATAGAGAAAGTCCTGTGGCATTTCAGGATTTGACGCAACCAATACAATTTTTTCATCAAACATGACCATCTGGAGGATTCATTTTAGCAATAATTATTAATATTAATGTTAATAATTTTTCACAAAGATGGTACAGAACACATGGCCTCTGATAGACTGGGCCAATAGGAGCAATGATTCAATTGCTTCTTGGTTGAATGCTGAGTTGTCAAAAAATATCAGCAAAAAGGTTGATTTTATGGGATTTTATTTAATCAACTATGATCCAGTTGTTTTAGAGCCACTATGACTTTCACAAACAGTTTGACTGACTCTTCATTGTTCTAGTCAATACATTAATGCTTACCTGTCATTCAATTCAATAAACATTTTTTTTTTTGGTGAGGCAATTGGAGTTAAGTGACTTGCTCAGGGTCACACAGCTAGGAAATGTCCAGTTATCTGGGGCCATATTTGAACTCTGGTCCTCCTGACTTCAAGGCTTGTGCTCTATCCACTGCACCACCTAGCTTCCCCTCAATAAATATTTTTAGTCTGTACTTTGTACAACACACTGGGCCAGAAGCTAAGAGAGATAAAAAAGATGAATAAGAGAGGATTCCTGTCCTCATGGTGGTCACAGCCTAATAGAGAAGATAAGATATGTATATAAGTAAATATAATGCAAGTTAAAGAGGGGAAAGGTAATAAATAAGGCATAAGGTGTTATATGACTATAGAGGAAAAGGGGCTTGCTTTTGGTTGGAGGCATTAGGGAAGGCTTCACAGAAGAGATGGCATTTCAGTTGAAACTTGAAAGAATGGCTAGAATTAATGAGGTAGACCTGGGGAATGTGGCATCTTGGGAACAAATGCTTTCCTGGCAGAGGTAATAGCAAGAGCAAAGGTCACAAGCCAAGAAATTTTAAGGAATGTTCAACAAGTGGTTCATTTGTCTAGAGCTTATGGTGACTGAAGTGGGATAATGGCAGGTAAAATTGAGGTCAAATCATGGTAGGCCTTGAATGCCAAATGAAAGAGTTTATGCTTTATCCAGTAAGTAATAGGGAGCCACCAAATATATTTAAAAAGAGTATGTCTTACTTAGTTTTAATCCTTCCCAATACTTTGAACATAGAAGGCATTGAATCAACGTCTATTGAATGAATGAATGGATAATCAGAATTATTCTTTAGGGAAAATAGTACAGCAGCCTAACATAGATGTCATTCAATAAACATTTATTAAGTTCCTCCTATGTGCTAGGAACTGTGGTAAGTTCCAAGGATACAAATAAAAATGAAAACAAAGGCAGTCTCTGCCCTCAGAGGGTTTCCAATCTCATGGGGGAGGGGGAAATAACATACAAAAAGAAGCTGAAAAGTTGATGGGAAGGGAGAAAGAAAAAAGATACTTAACACAGGCACTATAGACAATTCCAAAGAAGCAGTGTAGCTGGTGCAAAAAATAGAGAAAGACTATACTGAGACCCCTCTTTAAGTTGAGTCTCTAGAGCCTATGGCCTTGCCCTCCAGTAAGAGAGTCCAATCAGAAGGACAGAGGGCACTGATGAGATGTTAGTACCAGCAGATTGGATCTTGTATCATAATGTAGGTATATAGGTGTTGGAGGTACTGTGAACTTGAACCCAGGAGATTAGCTGGGAGACTTCTCAATGGTCTAAAGGGAAGAAAAACAAACAAATGAACACTTCAGATGTCAGAGTGGACAACCCAGTTTGACATTTGAACACAGGCTCTCAAGGTCCATTGAAACAGACAGCAAGCCATTTATTTGCCCCATGTATAGTCTGTTGTATATCTCCCATCTTTGTAAGTTGCTTTCTTTCAGGAAAAAAAAAATTAATGATTATGTTAATTATTAAAAGATTGTAAGCTGGCTATAAATAAATGCTTCTGGCATTCAGGAATGTGAAACCACCCTGAAAGCAGCAGCAGGAAAATAATGCATTTTAAGTCTTGGACTGTGGTAAATCTATGTGAAGGGGTTCAGTTCAAACTGATATTTAAGAACAGGTCCAGACTAAGGCACCATAATGCAGTGGAAACAGCCTGGACTTGGAGTCAGGAAACATGGGTTTGGGTTTCCACTCAACCATCAGTTGACCCTGGGTAAGTCATTGACCCCTCTGGACCTCCTTAAATTTCTTCCTTTATCAAATGGGAATAATGAAATTTTAATCAGTCAGTCAATCAGAAAGCATTTATTAAGCATTTACTGTGTGCCTGGAATTTTGCTAAACTCCAGACATAGCAAGAAAAAGCAAAAACAGTCTCTGTCCTCAAGGAGCTTACATTCTAATGAAAGAGACAGCATGGAGATAAACTGGTCCATACAAGATACCTACAGAGTTGGAGGGAAGTAATCTTAAAGGGAAAGGCCCTAGTACCTGGGAAGACACAGAAAGACCTTTTATAGATGTTACTGCTTAACAGCCTACCTTGTGGAGAAAGAATTTCATCAATTATCAAGTGCCATAGAAATGTGAATTACCATTATTATGTAATATCATTATAATTATTTTAATGGAATAATAGTAAATTTTAATATAACAATAATGGTAACATTCCACACTTTATAATATGTGGGGAGAAAAAGGTTTTGTGGAAGGATGACAGATTGGGAGGCTTTCTATTATCCCTCTCAAATATATTGTGTGGGAAGTTGCTGAATTTGCCAGCCCTGCCAGGGGCCCATTAACTAAACAGTTGCTTCCACTGAGCTGTAAACAGAAGATAGGTGGGAGATAGGTGGCCGGGGCTGGGATAACCTAACTGCCAGTTTTGTGTTTCCAGGTCTGAGGCGCAGTTACACGTGTAGCACCTGTCACGTCACCCTCAACTCAATAGAACAGTATCACGCCCACCTGAAAGGCTCAAAACACCAGACCAAGTATGTACTTTCCCCTCTTCTTCTTTTTGTGAATTTCCACTTATCTGGATGCTTATAAAGACATAAACTAGAGTTAATATCTCATTTGGCTTGGTATTCCTATAACAGGGGGAGTGCACAACTTGAAATACAAATATGCATCTCTATTAAAATGTGTGTCCTTGTATAGAGAGGATGAAAGGAGGAGGTTGGCAGTAGAAGAGGGAAAGGGTCAGAGGCAGTGTGCTTGTTTATTATTGTTGTTGTAAAATACAGCCAATGAAGCCACTTTTGCAAAGCTCATGTACTGGAATATGAAGTGCTAGCTCCAGGAGACGAGACTTTCCTGTGCTTGGATGTATTTTTTTTTAGGCTTCTAGTATTCTTCAAAATTAAGTCCTACCTGAATGCCTCACCTAAATCCTCATCATAATACAGAGGGGGCTTGGCTTTCTTAATGGGCTACATATGCCCTTTTGTGTAGGCTTTGAGATCAAGCCCAGTGTCTGATTGTATGTCTCATCCAAGAACTAAGCTGTCTGAAGGTGAAGTCCATCACAATAAGGTTGGACAATAAGTGATGCTTTTCTTTGCCCACAACTAATGAAGTTGTCTACTAGAGTTGTGAAGGAGTCCAGGTTGAAGAGAGCACCCATGTCAATGAAATCAGAGATCCTTTAACTAAGGATCATCTAAGAAAATGATAGAACTCTTATTATACAGAGTTGAGTATATCAAACCTTCCATAAGACTGAAATTTGACACAGTATTCCTTTATGTGATCTTGATGGACAATTTCCAATATTCTCATCCAGTTCTCAGCAAATACTAAGTAAGTGAGTGTGGGCAACACTCTGCTAGGCACTTTGTGGGGAGAAGGATGAACAGATGAGTACAAGAGTGCAAGCTGCTTAAAAAATTTATTAATGGAGGGTAAGTACACAAATAACTATGATACAAAATAGAGTATGATAAGTTCAAGGAAAAGATACAATGTGCTTTTAGAGTTTAGTAGAGAAAAGGCTCATTCTCACCTGAAGGGATGAAAGAAGACTTCGTGGAGTGAGTAACCTTGGAGCTGGGCCTTTAAGGTCAAATACAGTTTTAACAAGGAGACACATGGGTATAGCATGAGGAAATATAGGAAACTCCTAATGAGTTCAAGAAACAGTTGAGTATTCCACTGTGGCTGGGGCATAGGATTCATGGAGAGGCATAGTGTGAAATAGGCTGAAAAGTTAGAATTCAGATTCTGGAGTCCCTGAAATGCCAAGCTGAGGAACTTGAGCATAATCCATTAGTCAGTGAAGAATCATCAGGATTTTATTTATCGAAGGTTTTTGGACTGAAGTGGTCACTTTTCAGCCCCACCTCCTAGCTTTGTGTCTCTTCTATGGCTGGTGCTTGATAAATTATTCTGGACTGAGTGATTGATGGTCAAACTCATGTACTGGAAATGTCACTTTGACAGCTCTACCTGTTGTAGAGCTGGCGGTTGAAGATAGGAGGTAAGGTAGGAGCCCATTGCAATAAGCCAAGACAAGTAGTGGAGACTTGAATAAGAGAGGCATCATTGTCAGTGGAGAAGAGGACACTAATGTGATACTATTTCAGAAGAACAAAACTGAGATTTTTACTTGGATGACTAGGAGAATGATATTGCTATTGGCAATAAAAGAGGAATGAGAAGTTTTGGGGAAAAGATGAGGGAGGTGACTCTTAATAGCGGGAAAGAAAAACCCAGTGAAGAATGCAGAGGAGGCCTAAGCTAAGGAATGAATAAATGCCCTAACAGTTTTGCAACGCAAAGCTAAGGTGCTTTGAACAAAGAGATAGGGAGATCTCAGCAAAAATATGATGGGTATTAAGGAGAGAACCATGGCACTCATATTGACATAGAAGAGAAAAACAACTTAAGAAAGCATGCTATTAGTTCAGAATTAGGGGGATGAGGACAGCATGGCTAGAAAAGCATTCATTTGAAAAAGATCTTGGGGGTCTTAATGGACTGCTAATTCAATATGTTCCAGTAGTGTGACATGGCAGTTAAGAAAAGCTAAAACGTAAAAGTAAACTGTATGAAAAGAAGCGTAATGTCTGGAAAGGGGAAGGTGATAGTTGTGCTGTACTCTGTTTTGGTCAGACTGTATCTAGAGTTTAGAATTGATTTCTGAATATTCAAATGCTAGGAATGACGTTGAAAAGATGTAGCACATACAAGGGGAGGCAGGTAGGAAGGGACCTGTTGAGCATACTCTCTGAGGATCTACTGAAATGTTGGGAGCTATTTTGCCTAGAGAAAAGAAAACTTAAAGATGACGTGGTTATCAGTCAGAAGTATTTAAAGGGCTGTTACAGGGAAGAGGATAACAATGACTGATTAGTTCCAAAAAGCCTCATTAACGGCAATAACAATAAGAAGCAAAGCACTAGATTCTGGACTGATTTAAGAAAAAGACTTCCTATAAATCTTGTCCTGAAGTCTAATTGCATCTCTTAGTAACTGGCGAGCTCCTTCATAGTAGAGGTCTTTCATGGAAATTTGAATGAATATTTTCTGTGATTGCTGCATCAAGGGATTATATTTCAGGTATAAGATTGACTATATTATTTCTGAGGCTCCTACCATATCTTGATGCAATTATTTTTTTCTGTCTTCCGTACCCATGCTATGTATGGATTTACCTTGGATTTGCCCTGGACCCTATTCTCTTTACACTCTCAATGAATTTATCAGTTACCATGGATTCAACTGTAATCTCTGAGCAGATGACTTTCAAATCTATATAGCCAGCCTTTATCTCTCTCCAGTTTTCCAGTCCTACATTTCCATCTTCCTGCTGGACATTTCATTCAACTTAGTGTCTTATTGCAACCTCAAAGTCAATGGGTCTAAAAGAAAAATAATCTTCCACTTAAAACCATTCTTTTTCCTAATGACTTTATTTCTCTCAAGCACAGCATCATTCTTCTTTTTACCCAGGTTCCCAACCTAAGAACAATCAGCTCTTTTCATTGAGCCCCTACTTCCAGTCGGTTTCCAACTACTGTTGCTTCTACCTAAACATTTCAGATCCATCCCATTCTCTGTGCTTATACTACAGCCACCGTATTCCAGGCCTTCATCACCTCTGGCCTGGATTATCCCTATGGCCTCCTATTCCATCTCTCTACATCTAGTCTGTTGCCTTTCCACTCTACTCTCCACAGCTGCAAAAGTGATATTTCTGAAGTGCAGACCAGAGTTTTCTTTTTGGCATTTAAAACCGTTCACTATCTGGCTCCAATCTCTCTTTATATGCTAATTATAGTCTATTCCCCTAGATATGCTGCACTTTAGCCAAATGAGCTTCCTTGTTGCTTCCCAGCCTTTTATTTTCTTCCTCTGCAGCTTTGCTCATGCTGTCCCCTATATGTAGAATTTTTCTTCTTCAACATTAAAATATGAGCTCCCTAAGGGCAGGGACCAAGTTTTTGTCTTGCTTTGTATCCCCAGCACCTAGCACAGTGCCTGATACATGACATAGTAACAGCTTAATAAATGTTTGTTGTCTTATTCACTCACTTACAAATCCTTACCTTCCTTAAAGGCATTCAAGCCCCATCTCTTTAAGCTGTTGTCTCAGTTATTAGTTCTACCCCCTCCCCTCAACCACATTATATTTATTTTGTGAATACTGTGCATTTACTTATTTGTAAACATACTATATTCCCTCTATATAACATAATTTTCTTGAGGTCAAGAAGTGTTTTGCTTTTATTCACGTGTCAGAAGGATGTTACTGATATCTCTTCCCACTCTCAAACTGTGATTCTTTGAGTCATAGAAATTCAGGTTTGGGAGGGACCTCATTGTCTAGCTAGTATAACCCATTGTTGAATCATTTCAGTCGTGTCTGACTCTGTCACCCTGTTTGGAGTTTTCTTGGCAAAGATACTGAAGTGGTTTGCCATTTCCTTCTCCAGTTCATTTTACAAATGAGGAAACTGAGTCAAACTGGGCTAAGTGATTTGCCCAGGATCACACAGCTAATAAGAGGCCAAGCTGGATTTGAACTCAGGTCAGACACTCTATGCACTGCACCACCTAGCTGCCGAGTATAACCCATACCATTAAAAAAAAAAAGTCCCTTCTACACTACAGTTGGTAAGTGTTCACCCAGCTGCTGCTTGAAGAGCTCTAGTGAGAAAAAAGTGGTGCTTTTTAAAGCAACCCATTTTTACTTTTGGTAGCTCTAATTATAACATCAAAGCTAATGATGATGATGATGATGGTAATGATAATAGCTAGCATTTTTATGGCACCTACTATTTCCCAGGCATTATGTTAAGTGTTTTACAAATATTATCTCATATGATTGTTGTAACAACCCTGGGAGAAAGGCTCTATTACTATTCCCATTTTACAGCTGGGAAAACTGAGGCAGACAGCGCTCAAGTGACTTGCCCATGGTCACACAGTTAGGAAGTCTCTAAAGGTAGATTTGAACTCAGGTCTTCCTGTCTCTGGGCCCAGCTTTCTGGCCACTGTACCACCTAGCTCCCTCTAAGGTCAAGCCTATTCTTAATATTATCAATTGAGAAAATGTTTGCAAAGCACTTAGCACACTTACCTAGCATATAGTAGATGCTTCATACATGCTAGTTGCCTTCCTCTCCCCTTTTGTAGCTTCTACCCATCGCTGTAGTTCTAAGCTCCAGGGCTGAACATAACAAGTCTAACAATCTCTCTTTCCCAGTGATAGCCCTGCAACTACTTGAAGCCGACCATATCCCTGCTCCCTCCCTTCCCACCAATATCTTTTCTTCTCTAACCTAAACATCCCCATTTCTTCTACCTTGTTCCCAGATGGTATAAACATGCCTCGTCTAGTCACCATTTTCTGGATGCTCTCCAGCGTATCAAAGTCCTTCCTGAGATTTGGTCCTCAGAACTGAATGTAAAGCCCTCGACATGGTCCCTTCCCCTCTCAACTTCTGTGAATGACTAGAAAGGTGGGAAGCCACAGTGAGTTAAGGAG